TTTCTGCCCCCTTCTCTCTTTCCTCTCCTTCTTGAACTTCCAATATGCATATATTGGTATTCTTGTTGACCCACAGATCTTTGAAGCTTTGTTCATGTTTTTCATTCTTTTTTGCTTCTGTTCCTCAGTCTGGATAATCTCAATTGATCTCTCTTCAAGGTCACCAATTTTTTTCTGCCTGCTTATCTGAGTCTGTCAGGTTTCTATAGCAAAGCACAGCAGCCTGGATGGCTTGTAAACAACAGAAAATTTTTTGAAGGTTAAAAAAGTCTTATTTAGAAAGACTGAAATGGTAGTAGCTAATTTGAATAGCTATTTTGTATAAGAAATTACTTGACATTTCTTTTTGATATCTTCAAGAGTTAGATTCCATTATACATGCTTTTATTCTTTCATCAAACCTGGAAAAATATACAATGGTTTTTCAACAAGTGGTTTATTCTCCCTTTCCCGTGTATAGAAATCTGTATGATCTCTCAGACAGTTCCTTCTGGAACAAACTTTCCTCCTCTCCCCCAGCCAGCCCTTGTGGGCTGTGGTACTAGGACTAGAGTCAAAACATGTGAATGTCTCCTCAATGGGAAGAAATTTATTTCTCACAGATCTAGAGACTAAAGTTCAAAATCAGGGTACCAGCATGGTGAGATGAGGTCTTTCTCCTAAGTCACAGACTCCTCATCATATCTTCACCTGGTGTAAGGTTCTAGGGGTCTCTCTGGAGCCTCTTTTTTTTTCTTTTTTTTTTTTGTAAGATGCTAATCTCATTCATGAGAGTCTTACCTTCATGACTTATGCACTTCCCAAAGTCACCACCTCTTAATACCATTACATTGGACAATAGGATTTCACCATATCAATTTTGGGAGACACAAACATTCAGACCACAGTACTGTTCAAATTGCTATTTCTTTCCACTGAACCTCTCATTTCAGTTATTGTATATTTCAACTCCAGAAGTTTAATGTGACATCCTTCTCATAACTTCTTTTAATTCTTTAGACTTGATCTTCTTTGGGGTTTTGAACATAGTTATAATGGCTGATTTAATGTCTTCATTTACTAAATACAACTTCTTGCCTTCCTCAGGTACAGTTTCCATTGACTGCTTTTTTTTTTAAACTATTTATAGTCCATGCTTTTCTGTTTCTTTGTGTGTCTTGTAATTTTTTATTGAAAACATGATATTTTAATTAATACAATGTGGCAACTCTGGAAATCATATTCTTCCCTCCCCATGGTTTATTGTTGCTGCTGCTGCTATTTTATTTATTTAGTGACTTTCCTGGACTAATTCAGTAAAGTTTGTATTCTTTGTCATGTATGGCCACTGAAACCTCTGGTTAACATAGTGATTAATGATTGGACATAAATTTCCTTAAGTCATAATCCAGTAAGTCCTCCAGCATTTGCCAAAAGGCTTTTGTTTGTGTTTGACATACCTTCTACTCTTAGGCAGGCAGTTTACAACTCTGCCTTGCCCTTTACTTCTTGCTTGCAGAGAACCTCAAGGTAAACCAGAGGTGAGAGCTGAGGGCCTTCTTGGATTTTTCCTGGGGTTTAGTTAGTTCTTGGTGGGAAAAGAAAACAAGCCTAGTAAATTTTTTATAATTTATATATGAAGTAATTAGCAATAAAGCTTATGAACTGTCATTATCTCCCACATTAGCCATGTTTTATTATTAGCAGAATTATGTAAAACATACTTTACGAATTTTGTGGTCCAAAAAAAGATTTAAACAGTTTGATGGGCATACCTATCTATGTGGCAGAAAACACCTCCAAGGCCATCTGTTCTGATACAAAGCAGATCTTAGCCAAATATGTAACCTAAGGCCTTTGCCTGATTAGTCAGCTAAGAAGGGCCTTAATTTACTAGATCCTTGAGTATAGTGATTACAAACTTGAGTTCTGGAGCCAAACTGCCTGGATTTGAATTTAGACTTTGCCTCCTTTGTGAACTTAGGCAAAGCACCTAACCTCTCCAAACCTCACTTTCCTAGTGTGAGGATTCAGTCATTACATAAAAATTCCTTAGATCAGTACCTGACAAATAATATGCACTATACTTATACAAAAGTAGAGAGAGTAGTTTGATGAGTCTCGTTGAACCTATTATCCATCTTCAACAATTATAAACCCATGGGCAATCATATTTTGTATGTAGCCCTATCTTCCCTCACTAATTATTTTGAAGCAAGTAAGACACTATATAATCTTATCTATAAATATTTCATCATATAATCTATAACATTTTTTTAATGTTAAGTATGCAGTTGACTCTAACAATGCAGGGGTTAGGAGCACCAACCCATGTGCTGTCAGAAATCTTCATATAACTTTTGACTCCCCAAAACTTTAACTGCTAATAGCCTACTGTTGACCAAACGCCTTACCGAAAACAGTCAATTAACACATATTTTATATGATAGATGCATTACACACTGTATTCTTACAATCAAGTAAGCTAGATAAAAGAAAATGTTAAGAAAATTATAAGGAAGAGAATATACATTTACAGTACTATACATATTTAATGAAAAAAAATCCATGTATAAGCGGACCTGTGCAATTCGAACCCATGTTGTTCAAGGGTCAACAGCTAAAAAACTAACAGCCTTCATATTATCAAATATTGAGTTGGTATTTGTTTCCCTAGTTGATTATTATGTTGTAATTAGTTAATATTGCCTCTTAGGTCACTTTCAACCTAGAGATCTACCCCTCCCTCTTTTTCCTCCCCTTGTAATTGTTTATTGAAGAAACGGTCATTTGTACTTTAGAGCTGTGTTATCCAATATAGTAGGCACTACCCACATGTACATGTGACTGTTGAGCACCTGAAATGTGACCCATTTACAGATGTACTATAAATTTGAAATACTCCTTATGTTTCAGTGACTTAGTATAAAAAATGAAGTATCTCATTAATTGTACAGCAGCCACTTATGATCCTTCAATTCATTAAAGATTGCAAAATGGTGATGTATTAATTCTTTTGTCCTTTGTCATGTACGAGCTGTAGTATACTTACATAAAGAGAAACCTCCCCACATCAACTGTTTGACCACACCTGATTATCATACAAACTATATATATTTTGCATAGAAAAAGGACAAAAGTTTGATTCTTTCTCCTTAATTACCAGTTTCCAAGCATCTTCCAAAGATAATCAATGAGTATTTTTGTAATTTTATTATGAAATTATGAATTTAAATGTATGTTTTTGAAACCCATTAAAGTTATTGTCATTATTAATGCTCAGATTGTCCCATCATTGGCCAGTGGGAGCTTCTTCAAATTGTCTCCTGTCCTAAACATGACCCTAGCAGTCTTTGATAGCTTCCTTACTTTTTAGTATGACAATAAGTTCCAGACCCTGGTTCCTCTTAGTGGGAAGCAATATTTACAGGCCACAGCCTAGCTTGCATAATGCTACCTTAATGGTATTGTTTCCAGGCCTTTTTAGTGGACAAAGCTAGGAAATGTGCTTTTTCATTAAAAGTAAAATACCTCATAAATTTAGACTGGTACTTCCAATTCAAATTTGGATCTATGGATTTTTTATATAATCTCATCAATATTATATTTATATCTTTTTCCCGTGCCAAATGTATTAGTTCTCAATGACGTCGATATACTAATTTGTTTTCTTTAACACTACACAAACAACAGTTATAAAACATCACTACCACCAACAATATGATTATTTACTGAAACGTGTTATTTTTGTTATTTGTAGTTCTTTTTCTCTTTGGGGTATATCTCACAAGGGATATCCAGAAAAATTACTGTCTTTTAAAATCACTCAAAATAGTTCTTTCTGATGAATGTGTATGCTACCAATTTGTTTCATTTTACTTTTAATTTTTAGGGATTGCTTTTGTTGTTGGAAACAGATCTTTTAAAAAATAATACACCAATTTAAAAAAAAAATCAGTGTCGCAAATCTTCAAATAGTACATCCATATTGCTTAGATTTTTAAGACTTTGGAGAATGTGGTAGGGAGGATTACAAACATTTGAGGGGTCACATGCTGAGGGAATGAGCAAGATATAACTTTGTATTTAATGTTTTCTGCTATGATTTTATTTTGTGGCATAGAAAATTACTCTGGACTACTTGCCTTGTGCAATACTAGTTTTTTCAGATGCTGTAGATGTCACAGTAGAAATGTACCATATTCCCACACTATTATAAATTTTGTTTATTTTTGGAACAAATAGGCTTATAGATTATTTTTAAATTTAAGTATTTTATAATACTATAAACTATTCACATGGTTCAAGTTCAAAAGTCAGATCTACAACACAAGAAATATTCAGTGGAGTCTGGCTTTTATCCCAGTTTCTTGCACTCTATTTTCTCCTTCCAGTAGGTAACCATTACAATTTATTATGATTAATTCTTCCATTTTTTTACACAATGACATATATATTTCATATCTTGACCAAAGAAGCTCCATAAAGTTCTGTGATTTCTTATTTTTATTTTTCAAAGAGAGAGCTTATAATATTCTTTATCTGTCATCTGAATGATAAACTGTATCTTTTGATAAGCCATATTTTATAGATTGGAACTGAAAAAGTCGATATACATAAGCCAGGGTTTTGAAGAAGAAAGGATTATTTGGGTGGTAACTACCAGCTATTATGAGATATTTTAAAGACTTCCTAAGGAAGGAGGAAACCATACTGTTTGGCTCCAGATAATATAGTAGGACCAATATTTAGAAGTTATAGAAAGCCAGATTTGAATTAGTCTTTTAAAAAACCCAAAAACCTACTATTAGATAAAACTAAAAATAGAATGGGCTTCCTCTTGTGGTTTTAAGTTCTTGTCCCTGGGGACATTTTTGCATCCTTTAAGGGTTGAGCCAGTTGGCTTCCAGAGTCATTTGGTGATTCTGATTTCTGTAGTTCTTCCCAAGTTTTGTATGAATTACTTTGCTTAACAGGCCTTATTGTATAGTTCCTGGGTGATCACAGTGTATTTATTTTAGGAATCAGTGACATTTAAAGATGTGGCTATAGACTTCACATTGGAAGAGTGGAGGTTGATGGACCCTACACAGAGGGACCTGCACAAGGATGTGATGCTAGAGAATTATAGGAATCTTGTCTCCCTGGGTAAGGATAACTTCTGTGTTTGTGTATCTGCCCATTTGACCAGGTTTGCTGAAGATATAGAGCTTCTAAAGTACTTAATTGAATTTTGGCATTAAAACCTCATAATCTTAGGAGCATATTGTTGGGAGTTATGCTATTCCTCACTCTTAACTGAATGGTCTACCCATTGTAGAGTAAGAAATACATATTTCATTGGAATCTTGGAGATTGTTGACAATCCCTCATATTTAGGACTAGTTTTTTTCTGGTCACTTCCATAAATGAGTTACCAGTTCCTCTAGAAAGAAGAGGAACAAATATGATCTATTGTCCCAGCAAACTCTGGGTCATAGTGTTGAGCTTTGAGATACCTTTGTAATTCTCTGACACCCATTGTACAGTAAAATGTTCTGCTGTGATGGGAATGTTTATATCATTGGTGCCCCATATTGCAAGCACTGGCCACTTGTGGCTCTTGAGTACTTGCAATGTGGCTGGTCCAACTGAAGAGCTAAATTTTAAATTTTATATAATTTAAATTCAAATTTAAATTGACACATGTGTCCATTGGCAACTCTGTTGGACAGCACATCTCTAGAACTTCCTGTAATAGCCACTCTTCACAGGAGATTAAGAGTTGAGACTGAATTTGGCACTAGTTCTTGCTCATGGGCACAATCAAATCATACTCATTTTTCTCTGAACAGGGCTTGCAGTTTCCAAACCAGACATGATATCTCATTTGGAGGATGGAAAAGGACCATGGGTGGTAGTGACAGAAATTTCAAGAGTCCCCTATCCAGGTGAGTTAATAGGAACCAGGAAGATTTATTCCATAGATGAATCAAATATCTGAAATATTTTGGAGAACCCAGGAAGAACAGAATGTCTACCTCTGATAGCCTGATATATCAGTGAGGTCCTACAAGGCAAGATGTCTGAATAGGTAATATATTTCAAACCACTGGGCTATGTTTGGAGCAAAAGGCTCATATCTAAGAGGAAAAGAGATAGGGAAACTGAATAAGAATGTTAAGAACTTGGGAACTTAAAGTGAAGAAGGCTGGAGACAGGAAGAAACTGGATTCTAGGCACCAGAACTAAAGAAATAAAAGGCCTAGCCTGGCCAGTGTTGCTCAGTCATTGTGCGTTAACCTATGAACCAGGTCACAGTTCAATTCCTGGTCAGGGCATATGCCTGGATTGTGGGCTCGATCCCCAGTAGAGGGCATACAGGAGGCAGCCAATCAATGATTCTCTCTCATCATTAATGTTTCTATCTCTCCCTCTCCCTTCCTCTCTTTGAAATCAATAAAAACATTTTTTTAAAAAAACCGAAATGAGCCTGGCTGGGTGTGGCTCAGTGGTTGAGCGTCAACCTAGGATCCAGGTGATCGGGGTTCGATTCCCAGTCAGGGCACATGCCCTGGTTGTGGGCTCGATCAATGACTCTCTCATCATTGATGTTTCTATCTCTCTCTCTCCCTCTCCTTTCCTCTCTCTGAAATCAATAAAGATATATTTAAAAAAAAAAAAATGAAATGAGGCCTAGTGAGCATAGGTATCTGGAACCATGGTGATACTCAATTGTGGAGGAAGAATTGTAAAGAGGGTAGAGTTACTTTGAACACCTGGATTCAAACCTGGATCTGTCATTTACCAGCTTTAATTAACCATGTTGAACTTCAATGTATGAATCACAAAGTGAAAATTATATCTCCCTAACTCCTGTGGTTGTTAAGAACTGAGATAAGTTTATAAATATGTTGACTATGGGATATTTAACCTTTATCTTTTAATAATAATATTGGTAAGTTTAGAATTTTAGGTTGGCAATTATATTCTTTCAGCATTTTCATATCATTCCACTGTTTTCTGTCTTATTACCTAGAATCTGTTGAGAATCAATCATCTGTCTAATTCAGGAGTCAGCAAAGTTTTTGTGTTTACCAGACAGTAGATATTTTAGGCTTTGTGGGACTGTAATCTCTGTCGCAGCTATGACATTCTGCCATTGTAGCATATGTTTTTTAAAAATAATGTTTTCAAGTTTTCCATTATTCTTTGCTTCAATATGGATATTTTATACTGACCTATTTTTCAGTTTGCTGACACTCTCATGTGCCATATCTACTTTTAGCCTATCCTTTGAGTTCTTAATATTTTTATTTTCCCGTTCTAGAATTACCATTTGGTTCTTCTTTTGTAATTTCCAATTGTTTGGTGAAATTATTAGTCTTGTCTTATTTTCTTGAATATAGTAATCATGATTAATTTAAAAGTTCATATCTGAGACCTCAATTATTTCTGTCACCTTCAGATTGGTCTTTATTATGAGATTTTTGTGGATTTTTTTTTCTCATATGATTTTTATGTCCTTGTATGCCTATTGTTTTTCATTGTTAGGCATTGAATATAAAATGTGTAACAATAATTTGAGGTTCTGGATTATGTAATTTTTTTTTTTTTACAGAAGATTGTTTGCTTTTGGTGAGCTGGTAGGATCCTCAGTTCCCTTGACTTACTTAGACATTTAAATAAGGTGGGTTTTAGTCCTTGAGTTACAGGGTTTTCATCTTTGTTAGCTGTGAATTCAGATCTTTGTCCAGCACAATGAATCCATTGAAAGTTCTACTTACCTTGAGTTTTAAAATAATAAAACCATTCTACTGTCCACAGAAGATTTTGATCCAATTTGTTTGTTTAAAATTATTATATCTAAGTGTTTAAATTCAGATATAATTACCCTAAAAATGAATTAGAAATATAAAAGTAGTATAATAAGTGTTTTAGAAAATCAGATATTAACTTGCACATACAAACTACCACCCCACAGTATAATTTTTTAAAGGAATTTTGGCAAACTGTTAGAAATGTTCTTAAGACCCATAAAAAGGATATTAAACTATTCTTGATAATAATTACTACTATTTGAAATATTAATAACCACAAACATTAATTTTGACTAGTTCAGCCTACTTTCTGAAAAGTCAGTGTCTTTTTCCATAAGAACTGTATTAAAAGGTATGTTCGAAGATGCCAATAAGCTACTATGATAGGGAAATTTAAGAGGACTCACAAAATAAAAATTAAAAGCTAGCCAAAAAAAATCATACTTTCTATTCAGAACAAATAGAAAGTATGATTGAGGACAAATATCTGGTTTGTGGAGTAAATGAGAAACAGGGAAGTAGTCACAACTTATGAAAAATGCTCTCTAAAGAATTTGACTCTAAAGGGAATGAGAATATAAATATCTGAAAGACTTAGATTCTAGGAGCATTACCATGAATGAATTTTTAATAGAGGAAAACTCCTCGAATTTACTATTTTGGTTCTTTGCTTAACCAGCTTCCCTTAACTTTAGCTCCTTCTTCTTAGAAAACAAGGCCAATTTGCAAGCAGTTAAAACCACATATTCATTGTCAGCCCAAGTTTTCCTCTTATTATTCAGTTTAGTGAGAACTCCCCAACTTAGGAAATGTAGTCATTTGAATTTTCTTTCCTCCCTCCCCAGAGTTGGAGACCAAACCAGCAACCAAGAATGCTATACTAACAGAGGATATCTCTGAAGATTTATCACAGGAGACCATAGTAGAGAAACTCGCAGAGAATAGTCTGCGGGACTCCAGAATGGGAGGAATATGGAAATGGAATGACAGGATATTGAGACTGCAAAATACTCAGGAGAGTCGGAGCCAGAGAATAGTTACACACAAGAAAATTCCCACTGGTCAAAGAGGTGTTATATTTGGGTCTATTTTTTGTCCCAAACCAGGAGTTATCACAGAAGAGCTCCACAGCAAATGCTTAAAAAAACATGAGGAAAATTTCACAGAGAACTTATATTTGAATACAGATACCCATTTGGGGAAGAAAATTTGCAAGAATACAGAAGGCAGCAAAGTTATAAGGCCTGCTTCAGAACTTACTTTAGGGGGAAAAAACAATAGTAAAGAAAAACCCTATAAATGTAGTATATGTGACAAGGCCTTTTGTTATAGGTCATTACTCATTCAACATCAGAGAACACACACTAAAGAAAAACCTTATGAATGTAATGAATGTGGGAAAATGTTTAGCCAACCTTCATATCTTAGCCAACATAAAAAAATTCACACTGGAGAAAAACCCTATAAATGTAATGAATGTGGAAAGGCCTTTATTGCTTCTTCATCACTTATGGTACATCAGAGAATTCATACTAAGGAGAAACCTTATCAGTGTAATGTCTGTGGAAAATCTTTTAGCCAGTGTGCACGCCTTAATCAGCACCAGAGAATTCAAACTGGAGAGAAGCCCTATAAATGTAGTGAATGTGGGAAAGCTTTTAGTGATAAATCAAAACTTGCACGACATCAAGAAACTCACAATGGAGAGAAACCCTACAAATGTAATGATTGTGGGAAAGCCTTTAGGAATAGGTCATATCTTAGTGTACATCTGAAGACCCATACTGAAGAGAAACCATATAAGTGCAATGAGTGTGGGAAATCCTTCAAGAATACCACAATTTTTAATGTTCATCAGAGAATTCATACTGGAGAGAAACCCTTTAGATGTAATGAATGTGGAAAAGCCTATAGGAGTAATTCAAGCCTTATTGTACATATAAGAACTCATACTGGGGAAAAACCTTATGAATGTAATGAATGTGGGAAAGCATTCAATCGTATAGCAAATTTCACAGAACATCAGAGAATTCATACAGGAGAAAAACCTTATAAATGTAATGAATGTGGGAAAGCATTCATTAACTATTCATGCCTTACAGTACACCACAGAATGCATACAGGAGAGAAACCTTATAAATGTAGTGAATGCGGAAAGGCCTTCATGCGTTCCTCATCTCTAATTATACATCAGCGAATTCATACTGAAGAGAAACCTTATCTATGTAATGAATGTGGGGAATCTTTCAGAATAAAATCACACTTGACTGTACATCAGAGGATTCATACTGGAGAGAAACCATATAAATGTACTGACTGTGAAAGGGCATTCACTAAAATGGTAAACCTCAAGGAGCATCAGAAAATTCATACTGGAGTAAAACCCTATAAATGCTGTGATTGTGGAAAATCCTTCAGGACTAAGTCATACCTTATTGTACATCAAAGGACCCATACTGGAGAAAAACCATATAAATGTAATGAATGTGAGAAAGCTTTCACTAATACATCACAGCTTACTGTGCATCAAAGAAGGCATACTGGAGAAAAACCCTATAAATGTAATGAATGTGGTAAGGTTTTCACAAGTAACTCAGGATTTAATACCCATCAAAGAACACATACTGGAGAGAAACCATTTAAATGTAATGACTGTGGGAAAGCCTTTAGCCAGATGGTACATGTCACAGAACATCAGAAAATCCATAGTGGAGAGAAACCCTATAAATGTGATGTCTGTGGAAAAGCCTTCAGGAGGGGTTCATACCTTACAGTGCATTGGAGAACACATACTGGAGAAAAACCCTACACATGTAAAGAATGTGGGAAAGGTTGTATTACTCTGTCACAACTAACTCTGCATCAGCGAATTCATACTGGGGAGAGGCCCTATAAATGTGAAGAATGCGGAAAAGCCTTCAGAACAAACTCAGACTTTACTGTACACCTGAGGATGCACACTGGAGAAAAACCCTATAAATGTAATGAATGTGGAAAAACCTTTAGGAGTAGCTCAAGCCTTACTGTACATCAAAGAATACATCAGCGAGAAACTCAGTTAATATAAAGAATAGCAAGTCACCCAGATGTCTACTCCACAAGAAAAACCATAATTTGTATCTTTAATGAATGTGGGAAGACTTTCAGAATCAATTTGCCAGAAAACACATACAGAAAAGACACTCTATAATCATGAATGTGGAAAAGCATTTCATCATATTAAAGCTTAGGCGTTATAAGAAAATTCACAGTAGAGTGCAATGATGGATAAATGAAAGCCTTCATCCAGATTTCATACTTTATTCATTTAACAGATTATCTTTAGTGTCTATATATTTTTTATGTCTATATATTTAATGTCTATATATTTTTGCCTATTTTTCTGTTGGTTTGTCTAATAAATCTGGAAACGCTCTTTATATATTCATTCATTATCATCTGTGTTGCAGATGTTTTTCTTAATCTAGCATTTGTCTTTATACTTTTTATATAGTAAAAGGAGTCGCCACATATTTTTATTTTTATAGCAAATATAAAAATAATATATATTTTATATATTTTTTCATTTTTTCTTTTTTTTAATTTACTATTTTAGTTAAAGGATCTTAATTCCTAGGTTATACATAGTCTCCTAAATTTGTTTCTAAAATTCTGATTATTTTTTACATTGAAGTCTTTAACCCATCTGGACTGGAGGGCTATTGATAAAAGATCAACTCCAAATGGCCATTAACCTATGAAAATATTATGAACTAGTACTCAGGGAAATGCAAATTACAACATCCAATGAGTTCTCTTTCACTTCATGGANCTAAATAGTACTCAGGGAAATGCAAATTACAACATCCAATGAGTTCTCTTTCACTTCATGGAGTTGGCAAAATTAAGAGATCTTTTGCTAGTGGGGTTTAGGAAACCATGAACTCTTACCAAAAGGTTATCTCAACTTATAGTTCTGCCAGCAATCCAATTTGAAAATATTTAATATCTTAAAAATAAAAATTCTTTGACCTAGAAGTCTGTCCCACAGAAATAACAGCATCAATGCATAAGAATACATGTAAATGAGGATATTTGTTGAAGTATTGTCTTAGAGGCAAAGAAACCCAACTGGAGACAAAAGGAATGGCCACTAAAAGGAGCATGGTTGGATGAATTGTGATATATGCTGATAGGTGGAATAGCATGAGAGTAATTTTTTAAGTGAGTTATATCTACACTGGTTAACACCAAGGCTTTTTCACAATTCTTGATAAGTAACTGCTTTATTAGAAATATGTATATGTATAATATTTCATTTTTGTTAAAGGGAAAAGGAGAAGTAGGGAGATAAGGGGAAAAGACTGGGGAAAAAGAGAAATGTGAGGCATGTGTGGTATAAAACTATATGTAAAACTATGTATTTGTGTGAACTTTTGAGAGCATGAGTGAAGGGGTGGTTTGCAAAACTTGATGGTTTCAGAGTTGGTGGAGTATCAGGCATTTTTTGCTTGTTGGACTTTTCTGCACTTTTCTATATTTTTTAGTCTTTCTGTCCAATGAGCATGTAATATTTACATGCTCATTGGACAGAAAAGACCTATTTTTGAACAGGAAATACCTAATATGAACAGGAAAGACCTATTTTTCTTGTGAAGCTAATTTATTGGACACCTGTTATATGTCAGAAATCACCCTGGGGTGCTGAATATACATTGGTGGGGGATGGGTGGTCATGGTCTAAGAACGTGGGAATTGGTTTTGATGCTGCCTAGATTCCAAAGTTACCCAGCACCTCACTCCCTCTACCCTCTGTTTCATTTGGAGGAAGTAATAGAAATTTTATATAGATGAAAACATATCCAAGAATATCTAGACTTGTGTCTAGGCTATGGAGAAGACTGCAAGCCTCAGAAAGAAGTTCCACTTTCAACATGGGCTAAAATAAAGGTCACAGTGGTAACAAGTTCTATGTATAGCCTCACAGAACATTGGAGTATAGAGCGAGGAAATAGCCAAGGATTCTCAAGTCCATAAATGAAGGCTGGGGATACTAAGAGAGCCCTGTAGTCATAATGGGAATCCAGAAGCTGTGGACCTGATACCAGAAGGCTCTAACAGACCATGGGCCTGATACCAAAAGAGAACAAAGCATGTAGGAAAGCAAATGTCCCTCTTACAATGTATACAATAGACAAGTACCTATTTAATATTGGGAAGGGGATATTGGATAAATGATATGAGCTATCGCCCATTATAAATGAGTAATTTGACATTGTGGTTAAAATGACCATTTCTGGTTGAATTTTAATAGTGAAATTTATTAACTATTACCAAGAGACTTACCTTCTTTGGATATAATGTACCACTTTCTGATCAGAAAGTTTGAGGATTAGACCTGAAATACTACCCTTAAAACCCCTGCTGTCATTACAAGATAGTCACAGGGATGTACAGTCCCGCAAAGGGAATATGGTCAGTAATACTCTAATAACTGTGTGTGGTGTCATTTGGGTAACTATTTACTGACAGAATCACCTCCTAACTTATCTGAATGTCTAACCACTATGCTCTGTACACCTGAAACTAATATAATATTGAATATAATATTGAATGTAATTGAAAAATAAAAAGTATTTTTAAAAACACTTGCTGTCAAACAGTTGATGTGATGATGTTCCAACTCTGTTGGCTGCTTCTTTCTACCTCCACACTAAGACCATCCTCCTATCCCTATTTTAGGGCCAAGCATTTCAGGAAGAGGGGCATGGCCCTGGCCAGGTGGCTCAGTTGGTTGGAGCGGCATCCTGTACACCAAAAGCATACAGGTTTGATTCCATGTCAGGGCTCATGCAGGAAGCAACTGATGGATGTTTCTTTCTCGCATTGATCTTTCTCTCCGTCTCTCTCTCACTCGAAATCAATAAAAACATATCCTCAGGTGAGGGTTTTTACAAAAAAAAAGAAGAGGAGCATGGTCAACAGGTTCAAATGACAACTGAAAAGTGTCCACTGGGTGAGGGGATGGAGATGGCATACTCCATCTTTACTAGGGCAATTTCAATGGAGTGGTAAGGCTCCAAAGCCTGGCTCTAGTGTGTAATGACATCTCATTGTAATTCCCATTTCCTTAGTGACTAATAATGTTGAGTCTCCTTTTAGGTGTTTATTGGCTTTTTGAATACCCTCTTTTGAGAGTTGAATGTTCAATACTTTTGCCCTTATTTTTGTTGGGAACTCTTTGTTCATTTATACGTTTCTTTAAAATTCTGTATGTAAGGTATTATTGGATATTTGTATTACCAATATTTCCCCACCTGCATCTTGCCTTTTATCTCTCTAAGTGATATCCTTTGATGAATAGAAGTCTTTCATTTTGATGAAGAGTAATTCATCAATTTTTTTAATGATTAGTGCTTTTATGCCCAGTTTAAGAAATCTTTCTCTAACCCAAGATCATAAATATATTTTCCTGCATTTTATTCTGCATATCTACTGTTTTTACTTTAAGGTCTACAATCTTTCTAAAATTAGTTTTTATGTATGGTGTGGGACAGAGGTCAAAATTAATATATTCCATTCAAATATACAATTTATTCAACATTATTTAATGAAAAGACCATTTTCTCCACTCCTACTTGGGTTGAGGTGGTACATCAGATGACCATATTATGTGAGGGTCTATTTCTAGATTATTCTGTTTCATTGTTCTATTGAACACCAAAGGTTCTTAGTGAAAACAGATGTATAGTAAGTCTTAGCATCTGATGGTATATATCTTCTAATTTTGTTCTTGTTCAAAATAATCACTGCAATTCTCAGTCCTTGGCATTTACATACACATTTTTAAATGATTTTTTCCATTCCTCCAAATGAAGAAGTTGGGATATTCATGGACATTACATTAAATATGTAGGTTAATTATGGACGAAAAGGCACCTTGGCAATATTGAGACATCCAAACTTTTTCATTTATATACATCTTATAATTTCAGCAATTTTTGTATTTTCCCAGTGTAGACATCTTGAACAGTTTTGTTAGGTTAATCCTATGTATTTAATAGGTAGGTGTTATAAATACTATCACCTTAATTTCATTTACTGATTTTTGATAATATACAGGGACGGGCAAAAGTAGGTTTAGAGTTCATATGTAAAATAATACAATCATTAATAATAATACAAGAATAAATTCTGTTTTATGTACTCCCAACTGTAAGCCTACTTTTGCCAATGCTGTATATTAAATATATGTAAATAATACATATTATAGTATATGTAATATAATAGCATATTAAGTTTATAATATGGATAGTATATATTACATTACATATAACAGATTTGTTTAAACTGACTTTATATCCAGTGACCTTGCTAAATTCACTTGTTAAGTATAATGTGTAAAATATGTCATCTGTGATAAAATCTTTTTTACTTCCTTTCAATCTTTATACCTTTTTTTTTTTTCTTTTTTTCTTTTTTTACTTTATTGTGCTAGCTAGGACCTCTATAAGCAGTGATTATGGACATCCTTGCTTTTTACCAGAATCTAAAGAAAAACCCTAAGCATTTTACCATTAGGTATGTCATGAGGTATAAGTGGTTTTTTAATAGATAATCTACAGATCAATGAAATTCCCCTCAAACCGTAGTTTGCTGTCATGGGCAGGTGAATTTCATCAAATAGATATTTTTGCAACTATTGAGACGACTGTATGGTTTTTCTTATTCTCTTAATGTGGTTGAATTATATGGGGTGATTTTTTTTTTGTTTTAAAAATTGCACATAGAGAGAGAAACAAGATGGTGGCGTAGATAACAGCTGTACCCACCGCCTCCCGCAACCACATCAAAATTACAACTAAANCGGCGTAGATAACAGCTGTACCCACCGCCTCCCGCAACCACATCAAGATTACAACTAAAATACAGAGCCACCATCACTCAGAGCCTCCTGAAACCTGGCTGCACAGAAGCCCCACAACCAGGGAACTGAAGCAGCACCGAGACCGAGAGGAGCGGCCCAGACCCGGGCGGGGCTGAATCCTGGAGACTCACCGCAGGCCCACACCCGGTGC